TTATAGAAAAAAAACAACTCTTTGCTATTATGAATAAAGCAGTAATAAACATGGGTGTATATATATCTAAAAAAAATAAAAACTTTTATAAGCCTTTAATCCTTTAATATCATGACATGTTTGGATTTGCGGAGGTAATGAAATTGGGGGACTTCTCATTCTAGAAAAGCTGCAGAAGAAGCAATGAAAAGAGAAGAAGAAAATCAAAGGATGTTGGAAGCTATGGGTCAGAAAGAAAAAGGCAAGTACAAATATTACTAATAATGTATTATTTAAGATATGTGTTATTACTACAAGCAATTACAGCATGTCAAGTGAATTAGGATAAACATATATTCTAGTTTGTCCATGACAATCCAGCTTTTTGCCTATGGTCTTAGAGTACTTAAAGTTAGTTCCTACTTTCGTTCTAATAGTGTTTCGTTCTTAATAAGTGTTTCTTTACTGTCACTGAAGTAATAGACTCAAGTCTGAATGTCACATGCACTGTGGCCTTGCTTCAGACCTAGAGACTTAAGAATGCTTCAGATTATGTTTATCAGGAGGTCTAATCATCAAGATTGAGATGAAAATTCACATGTCAAAAGTAATTTCCATAAGACTCTAGAATATAAACTCAATTATTTGTATATAATCTGTGTATGGAAAATCATCTAATATACTTCCCATGTAGGAATTTTCATCTCAATCTTGATGGTAAGACTTCCTGAGAAAGACAATCTGAAGCATCTCTAAATCTGAACCAATATGATAGTGTTTGTGGCTTCCAGGAATATGAATTGGAAAGTGGTGCATCTTTTTATCTTACTTGGAAGATCTTCATAGCAATACATATAACAAGAAAGAACTAGCATTTGAAGAGTCCGGCTTAAATATACCAATGAGCAACATTATCATAGAAGGAAAAAGATTAAAATTGTCAGTTATATAATGCTATTTAATGCTACTTGAATCTACAACCAACACAACATGGTAGCAGTAGTCAAGAAATCAAAAGACGTGTGGCACTTGGAAAAATAATGCTGTTAAACATCTCTTTAAAGTGCTTAAGTTCAGAGATACCAGTTTAAAGACTAAGATGTACCTCACGCAAGTCAGAGTATTTTAAGTTGTTTTGTGTGCAGTAGAACACTGAATAAAGACCAAAGAAGAATTAATATTTGAGTTGTGTGGTGCTGGCAAAGATTATCAACTCTATCATTGACTGGTCAAAGAACAGGAAGTAGACCACAGACAGCTGTGCTGCTGTTCCAAAAGCTGTACTTCTCTGGCAGTTTTAATCCATCAGCTGCTCTGCTGGAGAAAAATGGGAAGTTTCATGCAATTTTCAACCTTCTAAATTGAATGGAGGGCATTTGGGCTATTTCCAGTTTTTTGCTGTTATGTTAGTGTGGACTATTAGAAACATTTTCTATTTGGAATAAACTCAGGCTAGTGCATCCACAGCATACTGAGAAGGTGATCATCATATTCTACCATTACTTTAAAGCCATTTTAGAGCTCTCACCCTTGTTAAATCTATGCTCAGGAGAAAGATGGGCTGTCTCCTCCCTTGTGATTAACTTCTTTAGAAAACCCACAGGAAGCTCAGCGACGGGTTGGTTCCAACACAATGATAAACAACAACAATAAGAACTGTACAATATCTTATTGCTTTTTTCCTAGTAACTGAAGAAGCTGAGCAAGACCCTGAAGAAGAGGATGACACTGAGGAGTCAGAAATCCCTGAAGGCCCTGAGATCCTCGAAGCCACCAAAGAGACCGGACAGTCATTTTTTACTGAGGCATCTGAAGTGTCTGCAGTGCCCGAAACAGAACCTGAGTCAGGTTAGACTTTATTGAAAACTATAAGCTTCATTCTACTGATAACTATTAGTGTGTTTGTGCACATGTATGTGTGTGCATGTGTGTGTCTATACACTAATAGAGATTGACTATGCATGGAGAGCAGTCATTTAGTCTAGATCACGTGATGTCAAATGTGGCGGGAAAGCTCCGTTTGCTTCTGCCCTGTAATGACTCTCAGGACCAAGACCTGCCTACAGGCTGGGACCCTGAAAATGTGAGGCATCTTCTTAGAAAGCAGGGAGAAAGTTTCATTACAGGTACTATAGTGTAAGTTGTTTTCTTTCTCTCATGATGTTTCTCTCGACTTGTTGTGGTAATTGTTTTATTTTTCTATCAAATGTTATTTGAAGTAAAGAAAAAGTGTTAATTATTAGCATGAATATTTCTGTTCATCTTCATGTTGTGCAATGCCAGATTTGAACACAAATATAAAAGCACTTTTCCCATGAAAGAAGACAATTTGCATAGCTTCTTCTTGTTGTTGGTATGCGCCATCAAGTTGCTTGCAATACATAGAGACCCTATGTATAACCCTTCTGAACCCTCCTCTATTTTGAACCAACCTCTTTGGCTCTGACATACCTATCCCCATTACGTCAGTCACTGAGTCAGTCCATCTCATCCAAGGTTTTCCTCTCCTGCACTGTCCCTCCACCCTGCCAAGCATGATGTCCCTCTCTAAGAACTGGTCCCTCCTTGCAACATGCCCGAGGTATGTTCAGATAAAGCTTCAAAAACTTTATCTCTAAGGAGATATCAGCCTGGTTTCACCTTCTCCAGCACCAAAACTCAAAGGCATCGATTCTTCTATCATCCTTAATCATTGTCCAGCTCCCTGATACATAGCAAGTCATTGTGAAGACCATGGCCTGGATCAGGTGCACTTTAATCTCTAGGCTGACATCATTGCCTCTCAGTACTCTGGAGAGGTCCCTGACAGCAAATTTTATCAATGCAATTTGTCTTTTGATTTCCTGAGTTGTGATGCTGAAGAAAAGTGTTGAATATATATACCAAGGACTTCCAGGAGAACAAATAAGTCTGTCATGGAGAAAGTGAAATCAGGCTGCTTCCTGGAGGCAAAGATTTTGAGACTCCATCTCACATACTTTGGGGCTGTGGCAAGAGGCACCAGTCATTGGAGAGAAACATCATGCTTGGAGGGGTGGAGGGAGAGCATAGGAAAGGGAAGCCCCTGAATGAGATGGATCGACTCAGTGACAGGTGAAATGGGATTAGGTTTATCAGAGATGATGAGACTGGATCAGGATAGAGCAAGTTCCAGAGCTAGTATGTGGAGGGTTGCTATGAGTCACAGGTGACTTGATGGCATGTAACAACAACAACAAGTCATCTATTTTATCCTCTCAAGTTTTTAGTTATGCTTGAAGTCTATCCATGCTATGTTTTAAGACTTGTACATTTGTCCCTATTTTTCTCTGATGAATTTTAGTTTTGGGTTTTATTCTTAGGTCACTGATCCACTTTGAGTTGGTTTTTTGTGTATGGTGTGAGATGTGGATCTTGCTTCAGTTTTCTGCAGATGGTTATCCAGTTTTGCCAACACCATTTATTAAAAAGGCTACCTAATTTCATTTCCTGGTCAAAGTTGACCATTCATAGATGGATTTACTTCTGGATTCTTGATTCTATTCCATTGATCTGTATGTCGCTGTACTAGTACAATTTTATCTTCACAACTATGGCCATGTAGTCAGTTTTGAGCTCAGGGAGTGTGATACCTTCTATTTTATTTTTTAATAGTGCTTTGCTTATTTTCTTTCCTTTATAGATAAAATTGGAAATGGTCTTTTACATCCCATTGAAGAATGGCATAGTTTTACATATTTAAGTTGTATTGAACCTGCAAACTGCTCTTGGTAGAATTGTCATTTTCACAATATTGAGTCTTCCTATTCATGAACATGGTATGTTCTTCCATTCATCTATATTTCTTTTTTTCTCTCCATTTAATTTTTCTTTTATATTGGTTTGTTGTTGTTGTTATGTGCCTTCTAGTCATTTGCGACTCATAGTGACCCTATGTACAACAGACCTAAACCCTGCTCTATCTCTATCCTGTGCCAATCGCACTGCCTCTGACACACCCATCCCGATTACCCCAGTCACTGAATCAATCCACCTCATAGAGGGTCTTCCCCTTCTGCGCTGTCCCTCCACTCTACCAAGCATGATGTCCCTCTCCAAGGACCTGTCTCTCCTTACAACATGTCCAAAGTATGTCAGACGAAGTCCCAGAACCCTTGCCTCCAAGAAGTAGCCTGATTTAACCCTCTCCAGGATGAATCTGTTTGCTTTCTTGGCAGTCCAGGGTACATTCAATACTCTTCTCCAGCACCACAGCTCAAAGGCATCAATTCTTCTTCTATCCTCCCTAGTCATTGTCCAAGTCTCTGATGCCTAACAAGTGATTGCAAAGACCATGGCCTGTATCAGGTGCACCTTAATCTCCAGAGAGACACCGTTGCTCTTGAGTACTTTAGCAAGGCCTCTAATAGCAGGCATTCCCATCGCAATATTTTTTTTTTTATTTCCTGGCTGCTGGTGCCAAGAGTGCTGACCATGGAGCCGAGCAAAGTGAAGCTGTGAACAATCTCAATCTCTTCGCCATCCATCCTGATGCTACCAATTGGTCCAGTGGTGAGAATCTTTGTCTTCTTGACATTGAGCCTCAGTCCATACAGAAGGCTGCAGTCCTTGACCCTCTTGCAGCAAGTGCATCTGGTCCTCCTCAGTTTCGGGAAGCAGGGTTGTGTCATCTGCATAATGCAGATTGTTAATAGATCTTCCACCAATCCTGACACCACACTTCTCCTCAAAGAGCCCAGCCTCTCAGATAATCTGCTCTGCATACAGGTTGAAAAGGTATGGAGATAGGATTCATCCCTGGCATACGCCCTTCCCAATTTTGAACCATGCAGTGTTACCCTGCTCTGTTCTGACGACTACCTCTTGGTCCAAGTATAGGTTTCACATTAGCATGATTAAATGTTCTGGGATTCCCATTCTTCTCAGAGTCAGCTACAGTTTGTTTTGATCCACACAGTCAAACGCCTTTGCATAATCAATGAAACACAGATAGACATTCTTCTGGTATTTCTGCTTTCAGCTAAGATCCATCGCACATCAGCTATAATATCCCTAGTACCACGACCCCTTCTAAACCCAGCCTGGACTTCCAGCAGTTCTCTGTTGATGTGCTGTTCCAGTTGTTTTTGGATAATCTTCAGTAGAATCTTGCTTGCATGTGAAATCAATGATATTGTTCCTTAGTTTCCGCACTCTGTTGGGTCACCCTTCTTTGGAATGGGAACAAATATAGATCTCTTCCAGTCAGTTGGCCAAGTGTTTGTTCTCCCGATTTCTTGGCACAACTTGGTGAGCACATCCAAGGCAGCATCTTTTAGCTGAAATATGTCAATTGGTATACTGGCTGTTTCTGGGGCCTTATCTTTTGCTATTTCCTTCAAAGCAGCTTAAACTTCTTCCTTCATCACCATAGGCTCTTGCTCAAATGTTATTTCATGAAATTCTTCTGTATCTGCCAATTTCTTTTGATACAATGACTCAGTATATTCATTTCATCTTCTTTTAATACCTCCTGGATCATTTAATATTCTGCCTAAAGCATCCTTGATTATAGCAACTCCAGGTTTGAATTATATACAAAATTATATACATTTTCATTCATGTGCTTCATGTTTCACACATTCTTACATTCACATAATTCCTAATCCCTTCACACACACACCCTGCCCACCAAACTGTTATTCTAGAAACTTCATCCTCTTCCTCTTTTGGGCTTTTATCCACATCTTACTAGTTATCTTTCTATTTTTACAATAATGATATTATGCTGTATTTGTCTTTATAAAACTGAGTTAGTTGACTCATCATAATGTTCTTTAGATTCTCGTATGTTATATAATATTTTATAAAATCATTGTTCTCTAGTACTGTATAGTATTCCATTTTGTGAATGTATTATAATTTCTCATTTGTTTTTTGGTAGATATTTAGGCTGTTTCCATTTTCTTGCTATTGTGAATAACACTGCTATGAATATAGATGTACAAATCTCTGTTTGTGTCTCAGTTCTATTTTCCTTGGGGAATATCTGGGTTGTGTGGGATTTCAATATTCAGCTTTTTGAAGAAATGCCAAACTGCTTCCGATAGTGGTTGTACCATTTTACAATCTCACTAGCAGTGCATGAGATGATATCTCATTGTGATTTTGATATGCATCCCTCTGATTATCAGTGATTTTGAGCATTTCTTCATATGTTGCCCACCAAAATTGTCTTTCTTTTAAGTCTTTCCATGTCTTTTGCTAATTTTGTGATGGGGCTATGGGGGAATGACAATCTCTTCAACAAATGGTGCTGGCAAACCTGACTATCTTCCTACAGAAAGCTAAACCAGGATCTACATCCCACACAATATAAAAAAAATTCTTCGGTAAAGCTCCAAACGATAAAGATAAATCATAAGATACAAACTAGGACCACACTTAGAAGGCCTAGCATATGATATAAACAGGCTTTTTTTTTTCTTTTTTTTTTTTTCCGACTCAACATAAACAGGTTTTTAATATAGCCAGAAATGCACAACCAGAAGAGGAAAGAATCAACGAGTGGGAGCTTCTAAAAATTAAGTCCCTATGTGCTTCAAAAACTTTTCCAATAGGGTGAAAAGAAAACTTACAGAAAGGGAAAAACATTTGGCAATGACATCTCAGAAAAGGGTTTTATAATGAAAGTTTACAGACTACTACAGGGCCTTTACAAGGGAAAGTCTTTTTGTTTCTTGTAGTTGTTGTTGTTATATGCCGTCAAGTCACCTGCGACCTATGACCCTGTGTAAAAGAGCTCTGAGCCCTGTCCTGTTTTGAGCCAGTCACACTAATTCCAACACACCAACCCCCAATGTCCCAGTCACAGTATCAATCCCTCTTGTCCAGTGTCATCCTCTCCTGCACTGTCCGTCAACCTTTGTGAACATGTCTTTCTTCAAGGATGGGTCTCTCCTGGCCACATACCCAAAGTATATTGCATAATTTCCTCCTTCCGCCTACCCTAGTCCACTTTGCTATGCACACTTTATCCTAGGGTCTTGTATGTATAATGCCTAATCATATATTCCTTTTAAATAGTTCTTTCCTTCATCTGTTCCAGTACAGTGTTCATTATTTATCCCTTCTTTTCTTAGTTTCCCTCAATCCCCATGTCAGTCCTGTTTTATAACAGTGGTGTTATGCAGTATTTTTTTCCTTTTGTGACTGAGATATTTCACTCAGTAAAATGTCTTCCAAGGTCACTCATGTTGTGTAATTATTTTATGAGTTCAATGTTTTTCAGTACTGTGTAGTATTCCATTGTGTATACCATAGTTTTTCTATTCATTCATTTGTTGATAGATACTTGGGTTGCCTTCATCTCTATGCTTTGTGAATACTGCAGCAATAAACATGGTGTGCAACCTTTAGCATTTCTTGTAGCATTGGTTTTGTTTTTGCAAACTCCTTTAGTTTCTGCTTCCTGAGAATGTCCTGATCTCTCCATCATTTTTGATGGAGAGTTTAGCTGAGTACAGTATTATTTGTTGGTGATTGTTTTCTTCACAAAATGCCTAGTTATTACCCTACTGAAGATGTGCCTCAGCAGCTGTTGTACCACAGCAAAAACCCCTTCATTCAGCAAAGGAGGAAGCTGTGCTATAGCATCATGCCCAGAACCATTCTGATCATTGTTATGGGACACCACAGAAGCAAGAGAGTGGTTTTCCTGAAGCAGCTAGGCAGTGACTTGCTACTTGTGAACAGGCCTCTGCCCCTCAATCAAGTTCCTCTGCAGACAACACAGCAAAAATTTGTCATTGCCACCTCCTCTAAAGTTGACATCAGTGGTGTGAACGTCCCAAAATATCTCACTGATGTTTACTTCAAGAAGTTGAAGCCCAGACACCAGGAAGGTGAGATTGTCAACACAGAGAAAGAGAAATACAAGGTTACAGAGCAGCACAAAGTTGATCAGAAAGCTGTATTCCCAAATTTTGCCCCAAATCTCTCATTCCTCTGCTCAAAAGCTACTTGCATTCTTTCTTCTTCCTCACCAATAGAGTTTATCCTCACAAATTGGTATTCTAGATTTATTGCAAAGGACTTCAATAATGTGTATATTTAAAAAAAAATACAGTACAAGACAAAGCAGATTAAATCAAGGAAGCTCTAGACACAGACATGACAGAGAAACAAGAAACAGCAATCCAGAATAACAAGACCAACATCTCAGAAGATGTTAATATGTTGATGGGGCAGATGAGCAGAATTGCACAGAATCAGTGAAACAAATGCTAGAACTCTCAGTACTGATTTGTTACAGCAAAAATGAAGGAAAATGAAAAAAATTTAAGAATTATATGGTTTACTATTAAGAGAACAACGTGGCCTAGATGTAAGACACTGCACTGCAATTCCAAAGGCATATGGTTCAAATCTACCAGCTGTTCCTCAAAAGAAAAATAAGCAGTCTCCTTCATAAGTGATTACACTGCTTCTGAAAACCAATGGAGGGTCAGCTACAGCTGAGTTTGGACTCAATGGTACACAACAACAAGCACTGAAACAATCGTGGAAGAGTTACTAGAAGAAAATCACCAGCAACTGATTTTGTGAGAGTATCAAGAACCTTCTTCTTTACAACCCTAGACTGAGTGGCTGAGTCCTACCTCTCATACATGGCCTCCTAGAGTACATGGCAGATCAGTAATACCTGCCTACTCCCCTGACGAAGAGAGATTTTTACAGCAGTGGGGCTTCCCTTTATGGGAATTTTGCCCTTGAATTTGGCCTTTTTAAAATTTGCCACTGGTGTCTGCCTTTCAGGCTGCTTCTTCTTGGTCTCCAGATTTTCATCTGCCATCTTGAAAGATGAGAATAATGGTACTGCTTTTTTTTTTTTAAGTTCCTGTAGGGTTTTGCTTGTGTTTCTTGCAGTTCTTCCTATTTTTCTTTCAGCCACTGAAACCTCTTGACCAGTGTTCTTTTGAATTCTGTGTCAAGAAGTTCTATCAGTCTTACCTCCTCTGTAAAGTCCATTGACTCTGCAGACTCTGCAGTTTGATGACTTTTTTGGGTGACACCTTGCTTTGGTTTTGTGTGGGGTTTGACACTTTTCTGTGTCATTGTGGTGATGGCAGTTTTTTTAGAAGTAGAAATGAAGCATTTTCTTTTATTTTGTTTCTTGGTTATCTGGTAGTGATAGGCTCACTTCTTTTTTTGGATCTGTAAGTCCAAATGAAGGCTTTTATTCAGTGAAAGAGATGTCCTTCCATCCTAGGGGTATTGCAGTAGAAATCCAAGTTTCTGCAGGGGCAGCATTATTGGCAATCTCTTCCATCTGGCTGCATGCAGGTGGCCTCACCTACCTGAGCCTTGGGCAGGGAGGTACGGCTTCCTGTAGCTCAACTCAATAAATTGCCATGTGTCTCAAGCCATTTGGGGTCCTTGGGGATGAAACCCCGAAGGAATCTCTCTCTACCCGAGTCTTAGGGAGGGAGTGTCTGGGTGGGCCATCAGCAGGAAGACAGATCTTCCCAGGGTCTGGCTGAGTCTTCAGCAGGGAGATAGTGCTTCCTGGAGCTCTGCTCGACACAGGGTCAGAGTATGCATCTAAGGCTTGGCAGGGATCTTGGATATGAGAACCCCAAGGCTTCTTCTCTCTGCATATATCATTGATAGAGCATACCTAGCTGGACTTACTGAAAGGCTTAGCAGAAGAACTCTGTGCTGAGTCTCAGGTCAGGCAGGGTCTCTGTGTGGTTGTGTCCCAGTAGTGACAGGTACACTTCCTCAGGTCCTTCGAAGTAGAAGTCCAAGGTCTCAGGCATAGTAGCAGGTGAGCACTGTGGGAGGGCTGATAGCTCTTGCTGGGGAAGAGGGCTAGTGCAGCGCCTCCTAGGGAAGAAGAAGATGCTCAGTAAAATAGACACAGTGACTAAAACAATGGGTCTAAGCAGAGTGGAGACTGTGAGAATGGTGAAGGATAGGGCAAGGGTTTTAATCTTATTTCCCATCTCCAGGCTGCACTGAAGGCATTGGCAAAAGTAGAGAAATTTCATCATACAGATGCAGTCCTGCAAATACGCATTTTTTTTAATTTTTTTTTGTTTTCTTTTTTTTTTTTTTAATTTAGTTTTTTGTGTGAGTGTACCGTCAAATCAGATCTGACTGGTACAGGAGGAGATTGTCCCTCCTTCCCCGGCAGAGCATCTGGTGGATTCAAACCATGCGCCACTAGGCCACCAGAACTCCCCTTGCACATACGCATTTGTCTATGACAAGTAATTTGGAAGACAGCTTCCAAGTCAACTCACTGGAAAACAACCATATTTGTGTTCATCCTGCCCCCACCCCCCAAAAAAAGGTGGCTCAAGAGAATGAAGAAATTATCTGACAATATTAGAATATCACAAACAAGTAAATCTTGCTGAAGATTAAGGTAAAAAATGTTTGGAGCAAGGTATCAATCAGAAATCCATGCTGGATTCAGAAGAAGCCATAGAATGAAGAATATCATTGCTGATGTCAGAATGGATCTTTGCTTAAAGTAGGTAATACCAGAAAGATGTTTACTTGTGTTTTATTGACAATAAAAATGCATTCCATGTTATGGATAATAATAAACTTATGGACAGTATTGAAAAGAATGGGAATTCCAGAACACTTAATTGCATTTTCAGAACCTGAACATGAATGAAGAACCAGTAATTCTCGTGGAACAAAGGGATACTAAATGGTTTAAAATCAGCATTTTGTGTGTCAGGGTTACAACCTTTCAATATACCTATTCAATCTGTATACTAAGCAAATAGTCTGAGAAGCTGGACTATATAAAAAAGAATGTAGCATCAGGGTTGGAGGAAGAGTTATCAAAAACTTTCAATATGTAGATGTTATTACCTTGCTTGCTGAAAGTGAAGATTTTAAGCATTTACTCAAGAAGATAAAAGAAACAATGTTCAGTATGGATTACACATTAAAATAAAGAAAACAGAAATCCTAACATTTATTCTAATAAATAACATCACGATAGATGGGGAAAAGATGAAAGTTATCAAAGATCAAATATGATAAAATAGAAATATAAAATATGAAAATATTATAAATGTAGAGATTCTGGATATACAAAAAACCCCTATTACTTTAGCTAATTCATAAGCATTTCCACACAGTTCCAGAATGACTACATACTTGTCAATATTTTTGTCATTGTGAGACTTGTGTCCCAGAACTAGTAGACTGTAGAGTGAAAAGAGAGAAATTGGTCCTTCCTTCCTTGAAACTATGCTGGAGTCATATGCAAAACATTTTTTGTAGCATTCAGGAAACTGGTTTTGGTCTATACCTCAAATAGTGGAAATTGTGGATCTTCTCCTCAGCTTTTCCATACCTATATTCACAACTAGAATTTTGATACATTCTCATTACCACTTTATGATGTGATGGTTTGTCTTTGTGGGTATTTTAATTAAAACTAAAAGGAGTATAAGGGCCTGCTAGTTTGATTCCAGATAATATTTAAAACCCATTATTTTAAAAAAAACCAAAAACCCATATCACCATTATCAGCCATGATTTCACATTGTATGTCTAAGAATAATCTTTATTTTGGCCTCTTATTATTCAATATTTTAATGTCATCCTTTGCCTACAAGAAAACTATACTTTTCAATTAGATATATTTTGTTTTAATTACATATTGGCAATTTTCTTTGAACCAAAGCATTTACAAAGGAGTAATGTATTCAAAATTCAAATACTAAATATTAGCTTTCTATTTTAAGCCATTGACCCTATTGAGGAGACCACAGTTGAAGCAGAAATTCCAAAAGAATCTAAAAAGAGCCTGGACAGTGAAAAATCATTTGAAACAGGTTAGTTATAACTGAATGTATTAAAGTAATCTTCATGTTCAGTTACAAAAAGTCTTATTTTAGACTTAGTACCAACTTCCTACCTAATTCTTTTCACATTGCATCCATTGTGTTATATTTAGTTAGGTTATTTAATTAACAGTGTTTCTCTGATCTGTTATGATATAATATTTTGTAAAATTTTACTTTACATATCTTACTAAAAGGGACAGATGTCATATGAAATTCACATTAATTATCCTAGTAATTTGGATTTATTAAAATATAGTAATTAAAGCCAATACAAGAGCAAAGTCTTAACTTATAGGTATATTGTTTATGATATTAAGTTTATTTCTTTCAAATGTTATTAAAATACTATGATATATACATTCTTTTTATTATTATTAACTTTAATGAAAATTTACAGTCTTTGGCTTTCTATTCATTCATTTTTGCACTTTTCTCCCTTCCCACCCCTCACGCCTCCAATTCACACTTCTCTTTGAAAAGTAAAAGAAAAATTCTTTCATTGTTATACAGTCCCTCCCCCAGGCCAACTCCACTATGCAGCCTTTGTTCTGGACTCCTGTCATGACAATAATACCTAATCACATATCTCTTTTATACAATTTTCTCCCTCATAAACTTCAATGCAGTATACATTATTGAACCCATCTTACTCAGTCTCTCCCCAACCCTGATGTCAGTCCCATTTCACAACAGTGGCACTATGCAGTATTTGTCCTTTTGTGACTGAGATATTTCACTCAACATAATGTCCTCCAGAGTCATCCATTTTGAATAATATTTCTTGAGTTCCTTGTTTTTCAATGCAGCGTAGTATTCCATTGTGTGAATATACCACAGCTTCTATATCCATTCACCTATTGATGGGCATTTAGGTTGTTTCCAACTGTTTGCTATTGTGAACAAAGCTGCAATAAACATGGGTGTGCATATATATCTGCGTGGGTGACAGTTATGGTCTCTTTGGGGTATATTCCCAGTAGTGGAACTTCTAGGTTAAAGGGTATTTCTATTTGCAACTTTTTGAGAAAGCGCCATACTGCCTTCCATAGTGATTGCACCATTTTACACTCCCACCAACAGTGAATAAGGGTTCCAGTTTCTTCACAACCTTACCAGCATTTGTTGCTTTCTGTTCTGTTAAATTCTGCTATTCTTACTGGAGTGAGATGGTATCTCATAGCTATTTTGATATATACATTCTTTTTGACCACATGACTAACAAGATACTAAAGAAAATATCTTTTTTTTTCCTTTAACATTTACTCAGAAGTTGTGCTGCCTGAGTATCCAGCAGATGCTTATCCTGATGTTCCTGAAATGGAACCACTTAAAGACAAGATTAAAGATTTCAACCTCTCCTGGAAACAACTAGAAGGAACACTCAATGATTTAACTTTTATTCCAATTTTAAACTTGGAAATTACTCGTAAAACCCCAGAAGAACTGCTTCAACAAGTAGTTGAGACTATGGAAAGTAAGGGCTATAATAATAATATTTATTACCAAGAGCAGGCAATTTTATTAAAAGTACTGTGAAACTTTAAAGACATTCTTGGTTGTTTACAAAGTATTCACCACATCCAGGGATGATACTGAAAATATTTCACAGCTATAGTGGCACAGCCTCCAGGCAGTCAGAGGAGCTAGTCAACACAACCACCACTGGTAATACTGGACATGCTCATATTTTTAAATTTGTGAAAGAAGCTGATGCAATGGGTGGTGGTTGAGTCTGACTTCTACCCACTTCATAAGTGGAAACTGTCCCCATTAATAAGATCCACAGTCCCAAACAAACCTAGATTGCTCCTTGAATGCAAACATTTGGAAGCTCTGTCTCACATGCTTTAAGCATGTGGCCAGGAAGGACTAGAGATACATAATGGAGAGGAACATAATGCTTGGAAGGTGGAGGGACAGTGAAGAAGAGGTAGACCCCAGATGAGACGGATTGACACAATAATAACTGGAGTAATTGGAGACGGTGAGACTGGCTCAGAATAAGGCAAATTTCAGAGATATTGTACATAGGGTCACTATGAGTCACATGAGATTCAATGGCACATAACAACAACAAATAAATAGCTAGTTGATCAAACACACAACCCTACATGGTCCTGCAACTATTTCTATGAAGCATTGGGTCTACTAGTTTAGCATTGGCTCACAGACTTTACTCAGTCATGAAGTTTATTAGGGAAATAGATTGGAGAGTGGAGGAAGCAAAGAATATCACACAATACAAGTCCAGGTTTAGTACAACAATCTCAAACCAGATTAACAAGGTGTAATTCCTCAATCAGTGACACTCCCAATTCAATTCAGTAGCATAGATGCAAGAAACGTCTAGTTTCTTCAATCTTCCAGCAAGCAAAAACCTTAACTGTGGCTTTATCGCCAAAGTTTCTCTGGTTGTATACACCTTGCCACTGTCTCCTCATATTAGTGCCACAATCTCTTTACAGCAGCACCACAGTCTCCACCCTATCTCCAACACCATCACCAGGGTATGTCACAGTGTAGAAAGCTCTTATATTGATCCCACAGCTTTTCATGTTTTGCAAGACTATGTATCCACAGTTAAGGTAGCTGGAAACCATGCCCCCCAAAAGGGACTAACACAGTGGCTAGAAAAGCTAATTTTTAAGGGTTCTGACACCCTGAAATCTTTAAAATAGTAAAAAAATTTAAATG